AAATTCGTACCACCGTTGTTCCTTCCAGTCTTGAACCCATTCAGCCGTATCGAGTGCGTGAGCTGAGAGAAGCACATGTTCTGCCTTCGTAAACAGACCGCATTACAGCAGTCAGTGAAGAAATTATTACACCATGCCCGATCGGAGTTTTTGAAGAGAAAGATAAAATAAATATTTAGAAACTATTATTGTCTACATATTAATTAATATGAGGTAACATTTGCGGCGAATAAAACATTCAGTGACGGCGCATGTGGGCCTATTTCGATCCTGTTCGAAAATAAGAATTACATTCAACCTGATTGAACTCAATACGGAACTTATTTCTATTTATATCTGCTTGCATCGAACTGAACTTCATGACATCCTTATTTCTTTTATGAAATAAAGCCGTACAGTAGGCCTAGTACTAATAACAATGACGATGATGATAATGATACTAATGCAGTACAGTATATTATATAATATATAAAATAATAAAATAAATACAGTAAGTGTTCAGTTCAAAACCCGTCCCAATCTCAAACCCATTCAGTCGTTCACATCTGAGCACAAGTTCTGCCTTCGTACATATATAACAAACCGCATTACTACGATGTCTCAGAAGAAATTATAAAACCTGTGCCCAACTGCAAAGCAACAATGTAGTATATATTTTTTGAAGGGAACAAGAAAAATATATATTTAGAAGATTATTGTCCACTTTTATCAATAGTACACTGGGTAATATTTGCGTCCAATATAAACCATTCACTGTTCAGCGACGTGGGCCTATTTTCCGTGCGAAGATAAAAATTACATTCAACACTTTGTTAGTGATGTTTCTTCTATTTGAATTAGGGCCAGGCCTAGGCTAGACCTATTTGTCAACTTTCTTTCTAGAGAACTTTGTCCCAGATTTCGTACTTATAAACTATTTATAAAATATTGAACACGAATAACAGCCGAAAATGGGAGTTGAATTTTTGCATATAATTATGTACAAAGCGTTGGCCTAAAAAGCATAGGCCTTGCCTAGGCTTATAATTAGAAATAGAAGTCAGTGAGCCCGGTTGAAAGGAAACTAGGCTTTACTTTCGGGAATCAACTCTTACTTTACTCTGATCTAGCCTTGTAGCATTTATAAACAGTACAGTACATGAACATCCAGTAACGACTTTATAAAAAACAAAATCTTGTTATGTAGGATAAACTTTGTTACCCTGTTGTTTACCTTGTGCTTAACTCCACGCGAGGCTAACGTTCTGCGTGACGACGCAATGTCCACGACAGTCAACGCGTGGTGCGAAGGTGGTAATTGTGGGCTGTACTGTAGATCATTGCATTAGTTACAGTATGTACTAACAATCTGGAGTTAGTAAACAATATATTGCAATAGTAGGGCTAAACAACAATGTAGTAGCAACATTTAATGTTGTAAACAATATAGTCACATTTTATATGCTATAATAAAAAATGTACTACCAGCTATACCTAGTGACATATTTGATTAGTAACTAAACATTGAAAATTCTGTAGAAGTAATCTGGTGGATGAATGTTTTTTTCATATCGTAATCTCGCATTTTTAAATGGTATATTTTTGTAGTACATTCTAATAATAAACCGTTGATCTACTGTAATCTAAAGTGCGGTAAAGAGTCATTAGTAGTAACCAAGGCAACCTCTATGACAACCATGAGTGATCACTTCATGTAAACACTTTGAACTTGACAAGTGAATAGGGTTATGTCATAATGCTAAAAAATATTCCTATAATAGTGTACCACTGGGACAATCCACCAAGTTATGTTTCATAATTACTGTATGCTGTCACTATTAACAGAAGGATGTTTACATTTTAAATAAGCTTAGCCTCATTGGGATTAATGCACACTTGCTGTAAATTATCACATGCTGTAAAATACTGAGACTGGCGTACTTTTATTTTTTTAAATTCAATTTGACAATAAAAAGTAACATGAGATCAACCTGCTCCATCACCAGAAATATAGTCCTGTATGAGGATAAGAATAAATACCTAAAAGTATGTAATAATTAAGTTAAATTCTTGAATTTAATTTAAAATAATGGTACATGAAATTGCCGCAATTGTTTAAAAATTGGCTGTTGAAATGAAAAACTTTGATAAATCATTTTTAGAAATAAATTGTGAGAAGTAAAAGATTCAAAATTTTTATGACGAGGGCAATGTGTACTTTTTCTAGCCACCATGTTGTGTACTGATCATAGTTCATTGAAGGTACAGTATAAATTGCTAACTAGTAACTGTAAGTGTAGGAAATGTGGGCTCGCATTCAATTATGTGGTTGCACAGGACTGTCATCACTCTGAATGGACACACTACATGATCAACTACCATAGGTAAAGTGTTGAACCAGGATATGTAGTTCATTACATAGGGGGATTATGGGATATATGTGGGCTCATTTTAAATATTTTGAACACATGGGAATACCAACTGTAAACAGTGCCATCTTTTTTCTCTTAATATTTCAACAGTAACTGCACTCTATATCACTGTAGGGTAACATTAACATGTTTTTCCACTCTTCACCATGTGGAAGCTAATCTAGTAGGGTATTGCTAAATCCCGCAAACCCCATATGTATGTATGGAGAAATATCTTTAAGCTACTGTATACCTGGATGTATAGTTCATTGAAGTGTTAATGCTCAGATGATGGAAACAAAAAAGGTGTTTTTTTTTGTACATATGATTTTTCAATTAACTTGTCCTAAATAACGCCAAAAGGACGCATTGAACCGTAAGGTGAAGTTTCTTACCATAGAGTTCACTTATTGATGCTATTTTCCAGGAAGTGGTTAGAACAAGTATTTTGCTTATGTTTTATGCCGGAAAGATGGCATGCAAAGATATATTCGAAATGCTCTTTAAAATATTTGCCATTGAATCGTGAGATTCTGCGTAAAATATAAAAATAGGTGGGTAGTAATCACTAGAATTAAACATTTGTGTGGAGTTAAATAATTGAGGATTTAAACTTAAGGAATACCTACATTTTAATCAGTATTTTTAATTCCATCCAAAATAGATCTACCTACAAAGTTCTATGTAATTAACATGAGACTCACACATTTGAGGCGTCTCACAAGGTCTCATGCTAAAGACCAAAACCTCATGGTAATCGTATTTAAAGTTAAAAAGACTAAAGCATAGTTTAGAAATACCAAAAATCAACTGGAATGTACAAGTAAATTTAAAGTGCTGTACATCACATCCCTAAAAAACAATGTCAAGCAAAATGCTTGAGACTTGATAGGTACTGTATGTGCTTGCTGAGAAGAAAATGATGCATAAAAGGGTTTGGGGGAGGGGGAGGAATTGCTTTATCTAAAAAAACTACAGTAGGCCTATGGAAAAGTCATTAAATTGTTGATCAGTATATTGTCCTATTGTTAACTAATATATGCTGTAACAGCTGACTGTGTAAACACGTTGCTTGTATTTTTGATCTACTGTATGGTTTTTGTTTACTTTGGTATGGACTGTTTATCGATCATTGTTGAAACCATTGAAGTTGCTGTTGACAAATTCTGCAATAATTACCTGAATCAGTTCAATTGTGAATATTATTTGCTTCGAAATTCATTTCACGATAGAACTGAAAAATTGGTATCCTTCCTGAAGCCATGCTGTATGATACTTTTATACTGAATTTACACGACACATGCTGAAATTTACAAGGACTTCCCGTGATATTCCAACTGGAACATCACTGTCTTCATACGAATAAATTAAAACCTTACTAAAAGTTACAAAAATGAAAACAGTGAAGATATCAAGCTGTACCTTCTGAGCATGCTCAAAGATCTAGAATGTAGTGGATGCTTGCTACATTTTTTCTAGCATGTTTTCCTAACATTTTGTGAATTTGATATAGAACATCTTTGCTTGGTTCATGAAAAAAACAAACTATAGCTTGCTAATATGCCATGCTACTAATACTGTACCATGCCTCTGAAAAAGGTACCACAGCTTAATTTAAATAATAATTTGAAAATAAAATTTGGAAATTGATACCAATATTCTGCTAATTATAAATTCAAAAAGTTCATTTACATTACTCTACAGATTAGTAATTTATAAAAATTTATGTTTATTAGTAAAATACATAATGAAATATGTAATGAGTGATGGCAACCACTGCTATAGGGTAGCTAAATTTGCTTACCAAATCCTCTCCTTACGTCAGTCCATTTTATTTAAGTAAATCTTATCTTAAGAAATGTTTGTATATCTCGTTTTTAAATATTTTAATTGTGTATTTTACTTGTGTTTTAAAAATGTATCACTCATAAGCCAGAATTGTATCACTCATAAGCCAGAATTGGCTGGTCTCTGTTTTGAGAGTGTGAAAGAAATAAATAAAGAACTAACTTTTAACTACATAAACAAGCTAATGTTTGTATTATATAATTAAAAAAAACCTTTAATACTATGTAAATTAACTATATAAAAAAACTATATAAAAAAAAACTAAGGAGTTAAATTAAATAATAAGGATACAGGTATCTGGAAACACATTTATTATTTATTATTATTTTTTAATACATTATTTATGGTTTATTCATAAAAAAAATATCACCTAATTACTAAGGTATTCTTAGTGATAGACTAGTCCAAGATAACTTTTCATTTCAACCCTCTCCTTGTTTATTACTACCAACATTCTAATATACTGACTATAATACAGTATATTCTGAAAAGTCTTGCATCATTTCATTTCTCAAGTTGATTTAATTAGAAAGGTATACTGTACAAATTTTGCTTTTAAGTACTATCAATGTCTATTCAATAGAACATAATGCATAATAATGTAACTTATTAATATGCAACAATGCTGTATGTCATTGTCAATAATCTGAAGAATGCATGCACAGTGAATATATTATAGTAGGCCTACTGTACAGTACATGTACAGTATGTGATAATATGCATAATCAGTAAATCGTAACCCTTTTTATTTTCTGTTTGCAGACAAAGGAACACTTCTGGGAGTAGTGATGTCTCTTCAAGCCCTTCCAATTCTAGGTAAGCACGCTCAGAAAATGCTGTAATTAAATAATATTTAATGAATTATTAATAGTACCTAGTATAATATTACAGTAATAATACAATAATTTATATTTATATAGCGCACTTCCATCAGGTGTGCTTTATATCAAGTTATAAAACAAAAAAGCAATAATAATATAATTTATAAATCAGTTGTGATGTCATCACTGCAACTCACAATGTTATTTGCCTATTCCCACAGTACAATAATATTTCATATAGTGGCCGCTTGGCTTGATTTTTTTTAGGTTTGTGTGCAAAAGACCAATTCAACTTTTGTACATATCACCTTGATATCATGCACCGCAATGAATTCTGGGCTAGGCTCGTTTGTTGACAAGTGGTAATTATTGAAAAATTACTGTCGTAAAACAAGGTTGATTAGAAAATTAAAATTAAGGAATTCTTGGAATCAAAATAAAGAATGATCATTTAATAGGAATATTCTACACCTATTTGAAAGACTCAAGGAACAAAATTAGATGTAGTTTCGGCCTAGGCAGGAGGCCGCTGAGGCCTAGATTGTAGCCCACTGTAGCCTATATATGAAACCTTCACACGATTTTAACTGTCTGCAACGACCAAAGATTAGGGCCTACTGTTTTCTCTCAAATGCTGCAAAGTCAGACTCCGGAGGAAAAATGTTTGATATGTTGTAGATCTGATTTTTGTAAGACTGAAAAAAATTGTTTGACGAAGAACTGGGGAACGGTGAATGAGATACAGATTTTTGAATATTCAAAAACTGGGGGTAAAGAGGCGTAACCGCCCAATTTTCCCCCAGTTTTTAAATGTTCAAATATTTATCTCATACAAACAAAATTTTTTTCCTTCAGAGCTTCACTTAAAGAAATGTATATTTCTTTGACAAATGTCCATCAAAATAGTATTACAAGTTCTTCATACACAAAAAAAAAGTCATATTCATCGCATCTGAACTGACATGTGTAACGTCTCACTAGCTAGCTGTGTGTTTACCACGTATTGCGGGAGCATATTAGCATACGCGCGCACAGCTAAATGTAATACACCCTTAGCAGTATGATCATATCACTATAGCAACCAATGACTGCTACAACAGTTGATTATCAAAACCAACTAGTGATCATTAAAAGACGGCGATTGACTTATAAAACAATTACAGTAGTATAGCTGCATACATCGTACACTCGTTGAAAATTATTATACTTAGATTAGATTTAATGCATTTAAAAATTTCCTTTGGGCCTTGCAGGCCCTCAGGAAATTTTTTCAAGCATTAAATCTAACCTGCGTATAATAATTTTCCGCTAGTGTACTATGCACAGCTCTACTAATTGATTAATAGTCTGGTGGCACACATACAGTTATAATTATGATTATTTGGAAGATGATGAAATAAGAAAACATTGAAATGACTACTGTATTGTAGGATTATTCCCTAGGGAAAGGGGAAGGCTGCACATGATTATTTTGTATCTTTTCCTTTAACCAAGCAAATACCAAGTGCATACTGTGGGGACTATGGTAATTTGGTATGAACTATCAAGTTAAACCAATACTATGCAATATAATGAACTCCATATGCTCCCATCATGAGTCCTGTGGCTGACAATTGTAAATGAATTTATAGCAATTTACTGTCAATGTGTCATTATAATTGAGAAATATGATTAGTGGTAAGATAATCTGAAATGTCATAATTATGCTAAATAAACCAGTGAGGGATAAACTAATGATGGTATATCCTTCTAATATATTTAATGGGAATTCTGCTTCAGAATGAAATTGATTTAAGTCTCTGTGAAACCCTTCCAATATAAGATATACCTGTACAGTACCTCCCTTATAGTACGTTCACATCAAGCCCGGATCTGGTTCGGAGCCCGGACAAAAAATCGTGAGCTGCTACGTTTTTTGAACGCTGCGTTCACATCGTGCACGGAACACGGTTATTTGGGTTAAGTACGTATGCATTCGATTGGTTCGAACCAACCAAGCTTGTTGCTGATTGGTCCAAGGAAAAAAAAAAACATAGGATTTCAGAATACAAATGGCTCTCAGATTTATCGGTCCGGATCCGGAGTCCGGATTGGAAATCGTACGAATTTTATGTGACCCATTTTTCACAATTTTTTCTCCGGTCTCCAGACCGGAATCCAGACTTGATGTAAACGTAGCTTGGATCAGGGGGTTTTCTGTAAATTTACTTTACATGCTAGACAGCGTCAGATCGAATGGGATTTTCCCCGACACCCACTTGTAGCTTTTTTTCTGGACATTTTGTTTTATTGTGATAAGACCATCAGTGCACTAGTTCATGCGAGTGCATCTAGAAAGTATACAGTACTCTCACCTCCCTGGTAAAAAAAATTAACAGTTTGTACAACAAAGAGGTCATAGAATTTTACAATAAAAACTACCCAACTGCATATCAGTGGTATACTGTAGTAGAATACTATAGGAGTGGCTAGTTAACAATTAACAATTTCTAACTTAAAAACTGACATTCTCTAAATATCCCTAATATATGTGGCTACAGTGTGTGTCAGTTGTTTTAGTAATTTTTGTGACACTGCAAAACAAACATTCAGAGATAATGGGTTTAAATTCATTTTTATGTAAAAAAAAAATTATTGTTTTTTTACAATAATTTTATTCTACTATTTTAGAATGAGGAGGATCATATGAAAATGTTTTGTACTCCATTAAAAATAATTAAATAAATGATTGGTCCTTTTATCAACATATTATTGAATCTTCCTGTATGTTGCCAGTTGCTAAACTTAAAAACCCATTTTTAAGAGTAGTGAGATTCGTTTTAGCTTTTATATAAAGTGTCTAGGACTCATCATAGTTGATAATAATAATAATAATAATAATAATAATAATAATAATAATAATAATAATAATAATAATATAAAACTTCTTTATTTATTGATTGTAAATTGTGAGTTGAAGTTGGTGCTAGGAAGATTTAGCTCAAACTATGACTAAGATTTAAGAATGGGTGAAAATCTCTGTCATTTTCAGCCAGGAAAAGTACACAATAATCCTGTTGTTTTGAGCATTGTTTGTGGGAGTATTATAGTGTAGATGATGATGACTAAGACATTCAGCCCACTTGTATGAAAGTGTTCAGTGAAGTAGAAAAGAACCATACAGAGATTGTATATGTTTTACAAAGTGAAATGCATAAAACAAAATCTCTTATTCTCAGCCATGTGAAAAGGTAACAATGAGTTTTCTCTGCTAAGGATCATTCTACAAAGTTAAACCGATAGAAAATTAAATCAAATAAAGTATACTATTAAAGAAAGTTAAATCAATTACCGTAGTATATTATTAATAAAAAATATTCAGCAAATTCTACTTTCTCAAACTAACCATACAAAGATTCTCAATAAGTTCTAAATAAAGTATTAGAAAAAATTTGTAAAGTCTAATCCAAGCAAACAGATTAAAGACCTTTTTCCTGTTTCTTGCATATTTTGTAGGAGTATTGTAAACAATTTAAGAGGATGACTAACCTAGAACCTCTTGTGTATAATGTTCAGCTAAGTATATTTAGGAACTATTTATTCTCAACTTTCTTGTTTCTTTTTTTATAATTGTTTAATTATTAAAATTTCAACCAAGTTTTTATCTCAATTACCTCCTCATTCCATTTTCTAATTGCTATTGTTTAAATAAAATATTTATGGACAAAATATGTTTCTAAACTTATTTAGTGTTAAACTTTAACAAAAACATTAGAAGTCAAAGAAAGGTCAGCAACGTTCTCTGTACAATAGGTTAGAAAGCATTGTGTTTCCTGTCGGCACGACAGTGGATGAGGGTGTTGTCGGAACCTAATGCTACTATGTGTTATTGGTATTTTGTGGCATGGCTATGAAATTTCACATGTTGCGGTCAGTGATAATATGCCAAGCCAGCCATGTTTATCAGCAGTCAATACTAGGCAGTGGTTAACATGTTCCTGGTTTTGTTCCAGGTGCAAAAAGGTTGGAATTTCTGTGTGAAAAAAATGACTAGGTGTAATATGCGTGAATATTGACAACAATGAAATTAAGCGGTGGACTCTTGTAAGTCCTGTCGTGTAATTGATAGTGGGAACATATTGACTGTTGTAAGCTGAGAGATTTCCGAATCAAGAAGCATAATAAAGAATAATACCAATTTGAATTTGTATTAAATAATTGAAAGTGATACACTATAATTAATAAATGTGAGATCTCACCACGAAATGAGATGCATCATTGGTGAAATTATATTGAGATATTCACTAAAATAGGTTAAACTCAAAATTTACAAAATTTTGATTTTAATGTTTTTAATTAACTTGATACTTATATTTTATGACTGTATATTTATATACAGTGAATTTTCAAACTAAAACAGTGTTTTATGCACATATTCTTTAATTCTAGTTCTATTACTTGTAAAGGTTAGTTTACATTTGAGGCCAGTTTTCTTATACCGTCTTTCTCATACACCTAAACTTTAAATGCTAACATCTCTGGATCTGCTTATCCTAGGGAAGCCATTCGAAGACCATTTAAAGCTTATAATGTGATCTACCCAAATATTAAACTAGATTTTTGATTTTCTAAACATGAAACTCATTTTGTGGAGAGACCTCACAAATGGTCAGTGGTTGTGCACTTGTATAGCGGCGCATATAACAATAACATTCATTTCTATGCATTCAAGAAAAAAAAACATGAATGATGATAATGAAAACATACAGTACAACAGAGTAGAAAGTACATATGTGCAGGTACAGTATACCACTTAATAATAAATTATTAAACAATGTTTTTATGCAGATAATGTATTCTACTGTTACATTATTTGCTCTAACTTAGCAGACCGTCAATCTAGATTTTCTTTGCAAACCATAAGCAGTATCATTAATTTATATTATAATTATATTAAAATATGAAGTTATTAGTTATTGATAAACCTCTTATATAATGTCAGTATTGTACCTAAAG